TTCATCACTTCCTGCAGTTCCAAATCAGGGCTGAGCCTTGGGATCTCCATCAGATGGGAGGGAGAGGCCTGCAGACTATTAGGGGCAGCACAATGGTTAGAGACTGGTTTGTGCACTGAAATGCAGTCCACTGCAGAAGGCATGAACAAAGCACTATGCGCCTTTTAAATTCCACTTAAACCCTCAGAGCTAGATTGGCACTTTACTTCTAAGCAATAGAAAGAACCAGCACCTAGCTGCATCACCCAATAAGCAGTCCAGGGAAGGAATGGTGACTCTGGGAGCCACCATTCCCTCTTGCTTTGGGCAGAGGCAGGAAGTAATCTCCAGTTTGTCAGTATTAATAGCACATTACTTCTCCCTCTGCACCAGCTCAGCCCTGCTGGGTGGTGCATGGAGGAAGGCAGGCTGAGGCATAAGCTGCATTGAATGTGCTTATCTCTCCCTAGCTTCCATGGGAGTTAAGTTTGCTCAGCCCCTTGTAGTTACTATCAAGCCTACCATGCTGACTGGAAAAGCAGCAGCTATGCTTATCTGCATGACACAGCTGTTCCCCTACTAAATAGCACATAGCTGTGTCCATTAAACAGGGTTTTGCATAGCTTTGAGGCCTAGACCACAGCCTTTGCATTGCTGGGATAGATGGGGAAATATGCCTTCAATCACATCCCTCCCACCACAGTAAGGCAGTCTGATAGCTATTGCTGACTCGGGTGCTTTTATCATCTGAAACTGCTCCAGTGTAAAAGGATTCTGTTCTCAGAGCCTTGACATGTGGTTCAGCTGCATCTCTCCATTTTCAAAAGGCCTAGAATCTAGTTCCAATTCCTGAAATTAAGCTCCCATATTGAATCCACCTACTCAGCTTGCTCCAGCTAGAAATATACAGTAAATGTGTGCAAGGGGCCCATAATGTTAACTCAGAGCCTTCAGGCATTCTTTCAGAATGTTCCATTTTGCTAAATTTCATTTTAATGAATTAATAAATACATTAAATGCTTTGCTAATATTAGTTTTCTATGTAACAACCACAATAGTTGATTCAGGGAAATTATGTGATAGTGAATGGGAAGGGAAGTGTTCATGAGCTAATCCCTCTGCTTGTGCTATAAAAATGCCGAGAAGCCCTGGTCTATACAGACCTGTGTGACCTTTAACTGATTTCAGGCTTAAATAGATTTTGTATCTTTTGAATATTATTTCCTATTGGTGACTTAGATAACCTAGATGGGACAGGAGAGAACAAGTGTCCAAACCTAGGGTTGCCATAGCAAGTTTGTGGAAATGGCAAGTTATGTCTGAGCACAGATACGCACCAGGATGAGAGGCACAAAAGGACCTTGTGAATATAAACAGATCTGTCCCTATTGAAAGTGACCTACAAATGGCTCTCTGCAGTAGGAACTCTGTATGTTGTTTACGGTGCCAAGAACAATGGGGTGCCCTGATCCCCTACTGCAATATAAATAAATATACAGAGGTTTGGGGGGGCTGCACGTAAATTGAGCTTATGCACCTTTTTGTAGCTGCATGATGAAAAAAGAAAATCAGGCTTCTTTATCCAAAAGAGCTTTTGGGAGGGTGGGTTTTGTACCTTAGAAATATCAAGAATGTCAAGTCGACTTTAACTGAAGCGGCAAGGGTGATAGAACTTTTTAACAAAGGAATCCTCCCAGGAACGTCCATCAACATCATGGGTTCACCTTAGTCTGTTTATTAAAGGCAGTCAGGACCAGTTATCTCAGATGATTTCTCTGCTTGTTTTTCCCTGATAGGGTCTCTGTTTTCTGCTTTGAAGCCGCCTGAAACCATCTTCAAGATAATTTTTTGGCTTGGCTACTTCAACAGCTGCTTGAACCCAATCATCTATCCCTGCTCGAGCAAAGAGTTCAAGAGAGCTTTTATACGGATCCTGAAGTGCCAATGCCACCAGCAGAGGCGGCTGGGGTGGTGGGCCTACAACTACAGGAATTGGAACCCAGGCTCCTTCGAACACTCACGCAAGGACTCGTTGGAAGACAGCAGGAGCTTCCTAAGCGGCAGTCAGAAGACATTATCCTCAGCCACCCCTAGCCCCAGCTACCTGAGCAAAGTCACTCACCCTCACATGGAAATGTACACGTTCCAGGAGTGGAAGAGCTCCAGCTCCTTCCTGAGCCCCCTACAGAAAGGCAGCAGGCAAAAGGACTCATGCCACCTCTTCACCTTCAAGCTCTCAGAGCACAACGGATATATCGCTGCTGGCAGCCAAGCCTCAAGCAATGGGGGCTGCAGGACCATCTGTGACACCCTGAACAGCACAGCTGATTGCAGAATGGCTGTTGAAATGAGCGAATTCTAAACGCTGTTCCCTGGATGCAGGAGGGCCTGGTCTCTGGGCTCATCTGCACACATTAAGTTGGTTGGTATTTAACCCAGGTGAAGACATGAACTTGCACCCCATCTAGACATGCTTGACGTGACGCTGGGAGGGAATTCAGCCAGGATGGCAGTAGCAGGCAGCCTAATATCAGAATATTGGCATAGTCTCACCATGGCAGAGAGACCAAGTTGATTGCCAGAGATGCTGCAGAAATTTGTGCACAGCGCAGGGCAGGGCCCTATAAAAACAGTGATGTGAACTCAGCCAAATATTCAGCTCCGATGGAAAGGCTGTAGAGCAGCCAAACACACACACACACACTATATATAGAGAGAGAGAGAAAGAGAGAGAATATAAGTAGAGAGAGAGAGAGTGAGTGTATCTTCAAGAGGAAATGTGGTTTTATTTGTACCTCTTCAGGGTACCACCAGCTGCTTCTGGTTTTGCCTATAAAAACCTTACCTGTCGGTGTACTTCACTGAACACTAGCACTTTAGAAACCGCAAACAATGTCAAAGATTAAAGTAACTTCACATTTATACATCACTTTTATTTATTAATATCCAATTGGCATTCCAGCAGAGCCTCCTTGCTCCCTGTCCCATTTGTGCATGTGCGCACACACTGGGGTGGTATCTCCCATCATACCCACTGATATCCTTTGGCGCAGCGCTATGGGTTGGCGATGAGTTAAAAATGGGAGTGAACTAACTTGGCCAAACTCCCCTATCTTTTACCATGTTATTTTTTTTGAAAGCTTAAAAACATCAGCAATGGTCAGGGCTCAGTATTCGTGCTCCAGCACATTAGTAATTGTCCTGTAAGCTTACAGGCAACCAAAGGGTCTGGTTTTCAAAGCAAAACCCATAAATCACTCCAGATCCTTCATAAACAGCATTGCAGACATAGCAAAAAGAGCACTGACCGCTGGAAGCCCATAGCCCAGACTGAGAGCAAATATGCTGGATTTCAGTAAAACCCACTTGGTGCTTTTGGCAGTGTTTGGAGGTGACATTGCATTTCTAATGACTTTTTCTTTGTCACTGCAATCAGAAGTGGAAAAGTCAAAAGGATGCAGTTATATGAGAGTCCCACTTCTCTTTGCATCCTTCAGCTCAGTAACATGGTATCCTAAACCAGGGGATCTCTGAGGACATCTTCTCATATGTTTTAACCCATGTTTGGAAGTTGTTTTCATCTCTTTCAATTAAGTGTGAATCACGAAACTACGACTGAATTTTTACATAAAGTGGTACAAACCATGGCAACTGGTCTTTACTCCTTCCTCTGACCCAAGGCTTCCCTTATTAGGAATTTTAGCAATGTTTTTGTGAATACTGAAACAGAGGCCGAACCATGAACAGATGTGCAGAAAACACTTAACAGATGTTTTTACAATGTTGACTCCCATGAGAGCATTTCCCTTGGTTTCATTGCATATGTATATTCCCTCATTAGGCTGATGAAGATGGATGTGATCTGTGGTTGGGCCAAATATCCTCCAGCTCAGTGAGCAAAGATAGGGAAGTTTTGTGTCTAGGTCACCACATGTTCATATACTACAATGATGAGAGCCATATACATACATATACAGACTTAATGTACGGCACCTTGGGTCTGATCCTGATTCCATTGAAGTCATTGGCAAATCTCCTGTTGTGTTTCAATGGCCCAATCCTGCTCCTGCTGAGTTGCAATTTCTTCTTAAAGGGACACTGCTTATTAAAATAGAAAGGATTTTTAAAATGTTTCCACTCTTTTTGTCGCTCATTTATTTTTTGTATTCTACTCAGCTCAGAAAAGGAAGCTAGACTGGATGATTTTGCTTTCCGCTTGTGCTGCACTAGCATATTCCTGTTCTCTTTGAGTTTCCCTCAGTGTAGATGACTGTGTGGGGTTCTTTTGCGTAAGTTTTCATTTTAATATTTGGAGGGGCACCCACTGGGGGAAAATGTTATAAAAACATTTCTAGTCACATTAGGTTGTGTAAATTATTGTTGATTACAGATCAGAATTTTGGGCCTAACTGTGTGATAGTATCTCTCTGTTAAGTTTAGCTTAACAGGTGATTCACGCAGTGTAAACCCAAACCAAAACACCAACCAACTTTGGAGAACTTTTCAGAGCTGATGGTAGAAGGTGCAGCACAGCCAGCATTTCACTCCTCTAAATCCTTTAACAAAGCAGCTTTGAAAGACTGGCATTTCTTTTTATTACTTTTGGTTCTTAACAAAAGCTGCATGATCCCTGATAATCATTTAAGCTCCTTAAATAATTGTATTTCATTTTAACGAGATTTCTGTAGTCACCTGTGGCAAGCCTTGAAATTTGATATTGTGCCACTCCTTGCTGGGGTGACCTATAAGCACTTGTCATTTTTATACATTGGATACTCCTTACAACTTTCCAAAGAAAAGATTCCTCACTGCTGATTTAGCTTTTCAAATTTACAAAAGGGAATCTTGGTCATTTGAGTGCAGAAAAACCATCTCTCTCCAAGTGAGAGAGAAGGAAACCCAGACTGATCAAAGAAACCATAACTAAGCTTCACATTAGTCCATACCATTTGTACAGTACCTCCCCAAAACCTCCATTTCATAATCACAGCCAACACATCAGAGGCAGCTTGCCGGGTGAGATGGTTGGGGAATACCACCTTCCAAGAGGAACAGAAATCCAGAAGACGTTCTGTTTTAGAGTCCCTGCCACCTGGGCAGATAACAAGAGAAAAGTTAACTTACCCAGCATGGTAGTAAAAATGTCAAACAGTTACAGCCAGCCAAAAGTAAATGTATACTGTACTTTCTATGGCTATGTCTACACTACAGTTTATGTCAGCATAACTTATGCCGCTCAGGGGTGTGAATAAACCACCGCCATGAGTGACATAAGTTACATACGTGCTCATGTGCACAGCACTATGTCGGTGGCAGAGCTTCTCCTGCTGACATAGCTTCTGCCGTTCACAGAGGTGGTTTTATTAACCTCTTCACCAGGTGCACTGCAGCGGCACAGCTGCATCAGTACAGCTGCACCACTGCAGCACTGGGCATGTAGACATGCCCTAAGTAAAACATTTCCTCTACAGTCCGTTGTAGGCATTCAGCAAGCCAGGCCTTGCCTGGAGCATCTCATTCAGAAGTGGTTCAAATGCTTCACCTCTTATTGCCACGACATTAGATGCATTACAGAGTGATTGATCCCACAGCTTTAGCAGAGCTGTGTGAAAGCAAACAATGCCAATGGAAGCAATGAGGTGAGGTGACACTTGACATGTAAATAAGACATGATTTCAACAAATTGTTACATCTCATTAGCTTGATTCATTTTTGTTATCCTATAGTTCCTATATTTGGCACCCTGTTCCTCCACAAAATGTGGGGATTCCTCGCATCTCTTTGCAATTCATATCTAATTCTTTTTTTACAGCCACACTGCCATTCTGGATTCCCTATGACCTCCCTTTAGATATTTCATGATCCTCTTCTTCATAACTTAGCTTCCTGCTTCCCACTTGTAGGCTCCCCACCTTTCATCTCTTGAGAACCGCAAGTCCAGCTTTTTGGAGGGTCTCATTTTGGACCACATGTTTTGGTTCTGCACAGAGCTCCGGTGACACTCTGGCATCTTTGGGAAGCAACCTGCACATACAGGTTTCTGTACAGTGGTGCCAAGCCACAGTTTGAACTGACTGCCAGTGAGAAGCACCTCATCTCTAATCATAGCGTCAATACATATCTGAGACCCCATTACCAAACACAATGTAAAGACCAGCATGAAGGACTCAGACTGCAAAATGGACTTGAGAACATCCATTCATACCACCTATGAAGGAAAGTAGGGAGACTTGCAGGAGGAACATCTATCAGGACTACATTACTGTCACTGTTCCCTTGGGTTGGGTTTGAACAAGTGGCCAGAAGCTCCATATTCACCTCCATGGCCATCTGGCTTTCTCAGAGGAAATTTATTTTAATCTCTTTTACAAGTAGAATTTTTCCAAGTTTGCTTCCAGTCAAGTCCTGCCCAAAAGAGGTCCTGCACATCTCTCTATCTTCCCTCCATAAGTCCTCCCTCCATTGCTGCTTCTTTCTTTTGGTGAAAAATTAGTCAAGGTAGAGCATCATCACCAAGCCTTGTGGGACCAGTCCCTTTTAGCCCCTTTGTTAAGGAAGGAACATAGATTACATATAGAATATCTGTAGCCTATGGGAAAATAGCAATTGGCGTGTTCTGGTGTCCTGGAGGATGCAATTATAGCCCATCACATAGTTCTGCCTGTAGCACCAATAACCTCTCTCATAAACTAACTAGGGGTATGTCTACACTACAGTTAGACACCCACAGTTGGCCCATGCCAGCCAACTCGAGCTCATGGGGCTGTGCTATGGGGCTGTTTAATTGTGGTGTAGCCATTTGGGTTCAGGCTTCAGCCCAAGCTCTGGGACATAAGAACGGCCATACTGGGTCAGACCAAAGGTCCATTTAGCCCAGTATCCTGTCTTCCAACAGTGGCCAATGACAGGTGCCCCAGAGGGAATGAACAGAACAATGATCCATTCCCTGTCACCCATTCCCAGCTTCTGGCAAACGGAGGCTAGGAACACCATCCCCGCCCATACTGGCTAATAGCCATTGATGGACCTATCCTCCATGAATTTATCTAGTTCTTTTTTGAACCCTGTTATAATCTTGTCCTTCACAACATCCTCTGGCAAAGAATTCCACAGGTTGACTGTGTGTTGTATGAAGAAATACTTCCTTTTGTTTGTTTTAAACCAGCTGCTTATTATTTTCATTTGGTGACCCCTAGTTCTTGTGTTATGAGAAGAAGTAAATAACACTTCCTTACTTACTTTCTCCCTCGCAGGGTCCTGAATGTCCACACCACAATTAGACAATCCCTTAGCCTGAGCTCTAGTCAGCTGGCATAGACCAGCCATGGGTTTTTTATTGCAGTGTAGGCATACACAAGCCTCGGTGTCCAAATGGGTTTGCTTACATTTCGGTGGTTTTGCCACTGAGCACAGAAGACACTTGTGAAACACTTCTCCAAGTTAAGCTACTGCATGGAGCCTAATTCCTAACTAGAAGCCTGCAGAAACCCATCCAGTCAAGAGCACAGCTGTAATGGCTCATAGTATATTGTTATAGCTTAGCTGTACCTACGTTAAACCCATTAGGTGTCAACATTTTCATCCATCACAAGAGTACTTCTTATTTCAGCAAAGGTGACGGTAAAATCAATCCAAGTGAATGAGATTATACCATTGGAACTCTGAGTTGTAGTGCATTGTTTACTCTCGGGAAATTAAATTGTCAGTTATCTTTCCAAATGGGGTGGGAAAGGGAGAAAGCAGGGAGTGCACATTAATACTGTAAAAGTGAAGTTCTAGTCTGAAAAGTGATATGTGAAACTAGCACTTCCTTACTTTACAGCAATGCTCTCTGGGTGCATTCAGAGTCATTGGAGTAGATCTTCATCTGGGGTGAATGAGCATCAAATTACACTGCTTACAAATTAATGTGCTGAGGTAGCGGCTCCTGAAGCTCAGAACCAACTATCTCTGAGAGAGCGAGCTAGATTCTATGCTGGCTTGTACATCAACAGAATTGCTCACTTAGTTCCAAACTGCTCAGGAGATGATGGGGCTGGGTAGATGTAATGAGGCAGAGATGGCCTAGTGGTGACAACACACAAGACAGAGAGAACCCAACTCAACTTTCAAATCCAGACTGAGTTTGCAGGGCTAGCAGTTAGGAAGAAAGGTTGTTTTAGCCTTTGAATAAAGCAGATTTGATGAGAATATACTTATGCCTCAACTACCCTGAAGGCCCATCATGCCATTTTTAGAATCACTCTAATACAGAGAAAAAAATCTTTGCAGAAGGCTGAGGGGTGGAGCAACAAGAAAAAATGTTCATGGGAACCTTTAACCTCTGGAAGGGTTTGAACAGGGGGCTCCTCTCCTTGTGAATTGGCTACCAGACTTTAAGGTTGTTGCTGCTGGAATTTTAAGTGTGTTTGCTCTGTCTCTGACCTCCTGTGAGACAAGAGATTAAATCTCATTTCCTTCCCTGCTCTCCTCCTCTCTGGCTATCCCTTCCCCAAGGCCCATAACAGGAAGATTTTGAGCCTAATTCTGCCCTCAGCTATGCATTTACAGTTCTCATTGACATCAGTGGGGTTGCACAGGCATAAAATGAGGGCAAAATTTAGTCCTTTGATTCTCTTTTATGGTACAACTTGTACTTTAGTTAACATGGTGGATGGTTTGCAATCAAAGGGGATTTTTTGCCAGGAGGAGGAGCTGTGTCTATAATGAAGTGTCCAGTGCCAGTTTTGGAAAAAGAAAGCCATGGTGATGTGTGAGAGACTTATTGAAGGTAACCCAGGTTAAGCTTGTTCAGAGCAAAAATCACTGTTGGCCAAGATTTCAGTCCAGAGTTAAAATATATGCTGTGGAGGTGTAGCAGTGAGTACCAAACAAGGCAACATCCTGCCATTCAATGGATTTACTGCTGATTTACACCAGTGTAAGTTGGATAAGAATGGCCCTGAGTCAGGAGGGAAAAGGCCCAGATTCTCAAAGGCATTTAGGCATCTAACTCCCACTGAAATCAGTGGGAGTTAGGTACTGTGGCAGAGCTCCAACCTTGTCCTCATGGGTCCCGCCCTTCCAGGCAGTTTATGCTAGCTTCAGAGGCTCACTGTGACCCTCCATGTAGCCCTTCTCTCTCTGGGGCCAGGGTACAGTTTACTGAGCCCTTTTCATCATAAGCCAGCAAGGAGTTTGGTGAGAGAACTCCCACAGTCTCTGTTGTTCCTACAGGCTTATTCCAAAGCAGGTTAGCCTCCTGTCCGGACAGGGGCCTGTCTTCCCCTCCCAGGAGGTGTTTCTGTAGTGGCGGGTTGGGGGGAACCCAGGCCCACCCTCTACTCTGGGTTCCAGCCCAGAGCCCTTATGGCCGTAGCTGTTGGCAGCCGACCTTTCACTGCCAGAGTTGCTACATTTCCCTGGGCCACTTCCCCACAGCTCCCTCGCTTCTCTCTCTCTTAACGCCTTCTTCACCCTTATCTTAGGGCTCCCTTTCCAGTGGCTTGAGGGTGTCTTCATTACCCAGCCCTTCAGCCACACTTCCTCTCCTCAGTCTGATTGGAGTGAGCCCTTTTATAGTATCAGAGGGGCCTTAATTAGAGTTAGGTGTTCACATTAGCTTAACAGCCTCACCTGACTCTTTGCACATTAATTGGAGTCAGGTGTTCTCATTAGCCTAATGGCTTCAACTGACTCTTTGCAGGCTAATTGGAGTCCACCCTAGCCTGGAGCAGCTCCTGCTCCTGTCAGTCAGGGAACAGAAAACTGCTTATCCAGTGGACAGTATATCTGTTTGTCTCCCAAAAAGGTTGGTGATGACATCGCCAAGGCAACAGGTGACTGGAAGGGGCTGAAGATCACAGTGAAACTCACTATCCAGAACAGGCAAGCTCAGATGGAGGTTGTCCCTTCTGCCTCTGCCCTGATCATCAAAACCCTCAAAGAGCCTCCCTGTGACAGGAAGAAGCAGAAGAACATTAAATACAGTGGCAGTGTCAGCTTTGATGAGATAGTAAACATCGCACACCAGATGAGGCACAGGTCTTTGGCCCGGGAGCTCTCTGGAACTATTAAGGAGATTCTAGGAACAGCTCAGTCTGTTGGCTGCAATACTGATGGTAGACATCCTCATGATGTCATCGATGACATCAACAATGGCACAGTAGAGTGCCCAGCTAGCTGAGACAGAAGCCAAGAAGAACTCTCAACATGAAAGCTGATTAAGATTTTTTGTGACAATTACGAACCCTCAGTAAAACCTGCAGTTGTCTGAGAATGGTCTGGTAGTTTAAATACAGGATCCAGGTTGTCATTTGAAGGTGCCAAATGCTGGAATCTAAACACATGGTTACTTCCAGACAATCTTTATTCTGCCACATCAAGATTACACGATTTTTTTCTGGTCACACACTGAACTAATATCTATTAGCTACACTAACAGGTTGTCCTTGAGAGACCCCCTGCATTTTGGAATGGAGAAAACATGCTACATAAATGTTACAAAGGTTAAAAGTGAAGATTGCCTCTAATTCTAATGGAGACTATACCTTACAAGGTGGAACTTAAAGTGCCACTGTACTTGAACTGGCTTTGCTTAACTCCTATCCCTCGTAAAACTTGCCATCATAAATATATGTATTCCTTGTGAGGAAAAAAAAATTATTCTGCTGTACCCAACTGTCCTGGGTCTATCACAGTACCTACATAGTTTTGAGGATCTGGGTCTATGCTACTGAAAGTAAGTGTTTCTGCAGTTGAGGTAATGGAATATATGGGACATTTCCAGTATGTTTTCTTCCTCTGAAGCCCATGCAGATTACTAAGGCTATATCTACACTACACAGCTTTTGTGTTGCTACAGCCATGCTGCTAAAAGTTGCACAGTGTAGCCACTGTTTGTCAGCTCTCCTGACGACAACCCCGTTTGCACTGTCGGCAGGAGAGCGCTCCTGCTAACAAAGTACTGTTCACACTGGCGCTTGTTGTGGCAAAACTTTTGTCTTTCAGGGGTAGGGGGCTAACACCTCTGAAAGACAAAAGTTTAGTCGTTCAATTGCCAGTGTAGCCTGAGACTTACGTGTGTTCATCAACAGAATAGACCCCACAATGTCTGCTCACAAATGCCTCCTGTAGGCAATTCTCAAAGGAGTCAAGCTTCCTGGGAATCTTACTTACACCACTCTGCCGTGGAATGTGTGGATGTTAGCACATGTCTTGGGTCTCTTTTCTATACATGCAGCCAAGGTTCATGGATTTATTAACTCTGAAACTCACATTTTCTCCTGTTTGATGTGGTGGCTTAAGACCAGTACTCTACAAGCTTCTTTAGTTATCCACACATATTTTTTTTCCTTTGTCAATTAATTTATCTTATGCTTTCCCCACAACAGTTGAATACATTGTTAGAGAACTCAGTAAGTATGTCAAGAAAGGGAGAAAACTTCCAAAGACTCACATAAGAAAGCAAAACCACACGGCTGGTTTTGAACCTAGAGTCTAGCTCATTGCAGCCAACTTTTCAGCCAGCATGTCATACATATGTAAGACAGGAATGGATTTGGTGCTATGCACATATTTTCTGAACCACTGAAGTTTTTCTCTAGCTATTATTTACTTGCTTAAGTTTCCATATACAGTACATACAAATCTAAAAATACCCATGACTCTCTGGGGATCTGCCATTTCTGACCCCATCTCTGAAACAGGGAAATAATTTCTCTGTATAAGTGCAGCAATCAGGAAAAATAATAATCTTGACTTTTATTGTCAATAAGGATGAAAATCTATGGCCTTGTCTTTTCCTTTGGCCTCTATAGAAACTCTTGCATCAACCAGCTGGGGCCATGTATGGCCTTTGAAAGGCACCCATCGTCTTGGTATCTATGGGCAGATATGTAATTGTAATATTTTATGAGAAAGAGAGAGAGAGTTCTACACAAGAAAAAGTCATAATCAAGCTAGTCCAAGCAAGGTCTTGGCATTAGGAATTTACTGAGCTCTAATCCTGGCTCTGACCTCTGAGTCAGCTCCTCATCTGAAAAATGGAGAGAAGAATATTTATCTCCCAAAGCTGTTGTGAGGAACGATGAGTTTATGTTTGTGGAGTGCTTTGAAGATTCAGGCCCCGATCTTGCAAACATTTACACCATGTTTAATTTTAAACACTACTCAAGTGCATAAAATTAAGCATGTGTTTGCAGAATTGATGACTATAAAGACTGAGTATGAATTATATAGATCAGTTAACCTCCTCATTTTTCTGTCTGTTGAATTCACCCTTGTGGCAACAGTATGATATTAGCGGCAAAGAGTCCTGTGGTACCTTGTAGACTAACAGACGTATTGGAGCATAAGCTTTCGTTATAAGCAAGCATTACCCACTTTGTCGGATGCATGTAGTGGAAATTTCCAGAGGCAGGTATAAATATGCAAGCAAGAATCAGGCTAGGGATAACGAGGTTAGTTCAATCAGGGAGGATGAGGCCCTCTTCTAGCAGTTGAGGTGTGAACATCAAGGGAGGAGAAACCGTTTTTGTAGTTGGCTAGCCATTCAGTCTTTGTTTAATCCCGAGCTGATGGTGTCAAATTTGCAAATGAACTGAAGCTCAGCAGTTTCTCTTTGAAGTCTGGTCCTGGAGTTTTTTTGCTGCAGGATGGCTACCTTTAAATCTGCTATTGTGTGTCCAGGGAGGTTGAAGTGTTCTCCTACAGGTTTTTGAGCAGATTTAAAGGTAGCCATCCTGCAGCAAAAAAACTTCAGGACCAGACTTCAAAGAGAAACTGCTGAGCTTCAGTTCATTTGCAAATTTGACACCATCAGCTCAGGATTAAACAAAGACTGAATGGCTAGCCAACTACAAAAGCGGTTTCTCCTCCCTTGGTGTTCACACCTCAACTGCTAGAAGAGGGCCTCATCCTCCCTGATTGAACTAACCTCGTTATTCCTAGCCTGATTCTTGCTTGCATATTTATACCTGCCTCTGGAAATTTCCACTGCATGCCTCCGACAAAGTGGGTATTCACCCACGAAAGCTTATGCTCCAATACGTCTGTTAGTCTTATCAGGTGCCACAGGACTCTTTGCTGCTTTTACAGATCCAGAGTAACACCACTACCCCTCTGATATTTGAGAATGATATTGCCTCAAACTTTTATTTGTATGAATCAAGTTTTTTATTACCCTTGCCAGATACTTTGATGAATGTGCTTGTGAAAAAAGTATCATTCATTAGCTTGGGTATATTTTTTAGATATTGTTTACCTGCAATGCTGAGGTTAGTAATAACCATAGAATCTCTTTGTAGCCTAAAGCAAGGACATTATGTCAACTTATGCTGCTGTGGTGTTTGCAGATTTGCCTGCATTTTTTATGTTCTCCTTTGTTGTAGGGGAGTAGATCTAGATTTTATTTATGTTCACTTGTAATTTATTGACTTTTGCTTGAAAAGCTCCCAGTCTCAGGAACTGTCCATTCCACTTGGGTGTGCAGTTTGATTAAAACTTTTAGCTGAAAGAAAATGTGATTGAAGTTTTAATTTTTACCGCTCATCCATTAATGAATGTTTTCTTTTGACCATAATGAAATAGCAGCCTCATGTTAACTTTACATTGGTAGTTTATTCCTGGAGCTGGGGAATTCCATAACAATCATTTGCACATCTGAGCTACTTAGCTTTCCCAGCCAGTACCAGTATAGGCACAGGTCTGAAATCCACACAAAAGAGAAACATGATCTCTGTCATCGTAGTTGTGCTAATCTATCTCTGCAAATTGAAAATGCTTTTGGGAGTACACAAATGGAATTTACAACAGCCCATGGGACTTTCAGCTGCAGAACTGAACTGAGGCAAAAACTGTGGCTGTTGTTTTTTAATGGGCTAGATAATTTTATGACCACTAACAATCATTGTTACAGGTAAACTCAAATAATAGGAGTAGTCAAATCTCATGGTTAATCTAATTTGGCAAAAGCCTCTAGCTGCATATTCCATTCATGTAATTTTATAAGCAGTAAACTCATCCCAGCCCAGACCCAGTACAAGTGATAAAGAGTATTTCCTGTGTTCGTTTTTCCCACAGCTTGCTGCCCTGATTTCTAAGCACAAGTAAGGGGTAGGTATGAGTTTAGCCTCTGAGAGGAACACATCCTTCTTTGAAGCTGGTGAGCCTCAATAAATGCAACTGCATCTAATTAGCTTCTAGCTAGGATGGCTTCCCTGAACAGCCTCTGAACAGCTGGGGATTAACCCCTATGTAGCTCAGCAAGGCTTCCTGCCAGGGACACCACTGGAGCAAAGAATGGCAGGGCATTGGGGTCCTCTTCATGGAAGGCTCACCCCCAAGACATGTATTTCACATGACAACCCCCTTTTCCCCTCCCCCCCAACACCCCTTTTATGAAGGTTCTCAGTATTTTTTGCATATACTGAGAACTCAGAGGGAAAGTTATGAGACAAACAGAATGTAGAGAAATATTGGCAGGCTCTGGAGGGGTTTGGGCAGGAGGCTTCTCTCCTTGTGAATTGGCTGCCAGACTTTAAGGTTGTTGCTGCTGGAATTTTAAGTGTGTTTGCCCTGCCTCTGAGCTCTCACCCCACTCCATACAACACTACACAATTGCCTAGATCGGGGTGTTCAAATATTTTCATAGCATGGGGTACATCTGAATAGAGAGATTTTCTGATGGTTGCCTCATTCCTTGTTGTACACACTGCCTTTCCTCCCCTGCATGATGGCGTAACATCTCTGCAGAAACTGATTGCACAGAATAATCACCATAAATAACCAAAGTATTTTAGCTGCCTTTAATCCAATAAGTGCTTTTTCCTTTTAGAAGATCATCAAGCACATTCTGTACTTTTGCTCCCCCTCCCATCTGTTTCATTTCTTCCAGCAGTAGCACCATGTGACCAGCCAGCTCTCTGCAGGCCACCTGCAGGGGTTCCACAGACCAGAGCTTGGGAACTGCTGGACTAAATACATTAGGGTTCTGGGTTGGCTGGTTTGTATGGTTGTTTGCAGGAGGGCAGATCAGAATCTTCTGAAGTAGCAAGTATTGCCCACAGCTGGGGCAAGCCATTTTTCTAGAATGACCAGTGGTTTGATTCATGGAAAATCCTAAGTGACCCACAAACACTATGGTCCAGATTCTGTCCTGGTGTAAATCAGCATAGCTCTATTGAATTCAATGGAGTTAAGCTGATTTACAGCACCTAAGGAGCTGATCCCATATTTATGATTGTGTGTAAGAAACACAATGAAAGCAAAGAAAATCATGAATCGACATAGCTCGGAGCTTAGTTTACACTCTCTCAACCTGATCCAAAGTCTGGTGAAGAGAATGGGAGGCTTTCTGTTGACTTCAATGGGCATTGGATCACGCATTTTCTAAGAACAGCAAAGTAGCATGGACAGATCAGAAGAGGAAGTTTGGTGCCTTTTATGAAAATTCTTGTGTCAAAATATGTCAATCTAGACAAAACAGAACATGTCCTCAGCTTGTTAATTTCCAGGCTTGTTCTCTAAAATCCCAATAAAAAGTTGTGAAGAAACAAAAGAAGTGAATGTTAGAATTAATAAGCTAAAAAACTTCATTCCTTCATTCAGTGAAAATTGGAAAGTGGATACAGTAAAATTTTTATTATATAGATTTAAAAGGCTTTAACTTACTCTTTCATTATTTCCTTTCAAACATTCATTGGGAAGCCCAATAATCTGATTCCACTGAAACAAGTGTGCAAATGTTTTACTCTAGCAAAGAATCTAAACTTTATCTGACCTCTTGAAAATAGTAATTATTTCTTTTGTTCTTTGTTTTATGCGTCAAAACTTTGATTTCCACGCTTTGAGGATCCAATGGGGGGGGCGGGGGGGAAATCACAGCGCTAAGTTTAGCAGAAGACCTGGTGGCATGGGTGGTCATGCTACACAGCTTGGTCCTTTTCTTTGAGCTAGTTAAGGGCCTGATCCTGCACTACTGAAATCAGCGGGAGTTTTGTCATTGACTCTAATGGGAGCATATTAGGACCTATATAAGGTGATTGCAGCTACTGGTATTTAAGATGCAATGGTGCCACCTACTGGGTCCACATTTCACCCATATTCCAAATAATAGCACAAAAATATTTTAATTCTGCTGAGTTTGGGGGATTTCACACATCATAGTTTGAGCCTCTGTACTCATTCTGTATTAGACAGTCAGGGTGAGATTTTCAAACTACGTAGTCTGCAAAGAATGTTTTAAAATTATTTTATGCTTTTTTTGTTTCTTTATTATTTTTTATCTTGGAACATCAGGCGTATCAACTCTGACGATCTCTGGTGTTGCTGTAGAGGTCTCAGAGATGAATACTGTGAGTTCCCTTAATCTAAGAAGTAATATAGAATTCCTTTTCCCCCAAATGTCAGATAGGTATTGGTATAAAACAGCTGTTAAAAAAAAACAATTAAAAAGCAAAGTGTTTTAAGTAATCTGACTAAAATTCCCCTTCCCTCTCGCTGCTCAACATTCTCTCTTCTGTATTTTTTGATGTCCTAACTTCACCAGCTCGCAAGTCGCAACAGAGTCGTCAAAGATAGACAACAACTGATTTTTTAATGTTAAAAGGAAGTAGGAAAAAATACTTTTACAAAAAATTTTTAGACACCATAAAGAGGACACACATCCATTTCTTCTTTATTTGTGGGTTACCTTTAAAGCAGGGAATTAAAAGAAAAAAACAAAACAAAAAATACATACTTTCAAGTAAAATTTTCCTATGCTTCTTTCAACATCAGATGGAAAAATGGAGTCAGCACAGCATGAGCATCAGTATTTTTTGGTACTCTGTATAATGCTCAAATTGGCTGCTTATGCCACACTAGCCCATACTCTGCAGGCTACCAGTTTGGAAAAGAAAAAAAAAACTTTTGGAGGAAAAAAAAAAAAAAGAGGGAAACATTGGAAAAAATTGGAGCATACAATCACTTTGGGGAGAAATAGCATCATCCTTCCACTTCCCCAATTTGAGCACTGGCTCAAGAAGTTTGTTCCCATTTTAAGCTGTTTCATGTTAGAGTGTCACTGACAGTGGAGCGTTGTGAGCATTTACTCATGGGAGCAGTTCCACTTATGTCAGTAAAAAGAAAAGGAGTACTCGTGGCACCTTAGAGACTAACCAATTTATTTGAGCATGAGCTTTTGTGAGCTACAGCTCACTTCATCGGATGCATACTGTAAAGTGAGCTGTAGCTCACGAAAGCTTATGCTCAAATAAATTGGTTAGTCTCTAAGGTGCCACAAGTACTCCTTTTCTTTTTACGAATACAGACTAACACGGCTGTTACTCTGAAACTTGTCATTATGTCAGTAAGTGATCACCAACATGAGTTAAGGGCTCCACAATCTGGCCTTTATTATCCAAATACATTCACTTGCATAGGATCACATATTCTTGATTTCTTCAATAGGTGTCCAGTTAAACAAACATCATTGCTCAGAAGAATCCCTCAGGATTGAGGAGATTAAACAAACTCCAA